ATAAAATATGGCTTTCTATATTCCCTTGTGAAGTGTGTCGAAAATGTTTCCTTTCAACAAAATTCTAAACTTTTGAGGTCCTCTACCAGTCACGATTTGATTGACATGGGGAACTCAAGGTTACACTAATTTTAATTAAAAACATATCTATACTAACGATTTTTCGAGGTGAACTTAATCTTCGGAGTAGAGGTTTAGTAATAAAACTTTATAATTTAGCAAAATTTTCTTTTTCTGAAACAGGTGGTTAGAATTCTTCGGTGTTGTTCTGGTTGAGATTGATTGTTTAGCTCTATTACCACCACCAACGTATGAAGAACAATTGTAGAAGATGATAAAAGAAGATAAGAAAAAACATAACTTTATCATCAATAAAAATGACATATTTTTGTCCCTAGATGTATAATCTTATATATCACTTAACTTGAGGACTCAATGTTATCTTACTACTAGTAACAGTAAATGCTCAAAAGGATGAAATTAATATATAAAAATGATTCTCATGGACAACTAAAAATTTGAAGTACTATATATATATATATATATATATATATATATATATATATATATATATATATAGCCATCATTAGCTATTGTCTTGTTTATACCTGATGATTATAACCTATATATATATATATAGCCATCATTAGCCATTGTCTTGTTTATACCTGATGATTATAATTTATAAGACAAATTAAATTTATTAAGTCAGGTGACCAACTCCTGTACCACTTCCCTTACTTTCTTGCTCTTGTTCTTTGGTCATTTTCTTCCTTCTTTTGTTACTTCTTTTTCCTATTGATTCGCATTCTGACATCAATATGTTCTCATTCTAATTTGGTTTGTTGAAAGCATCCAAAACTTGTTTCTTTTCTCTTGTCTTCATATTGCTATCCGCCTTACGTATTCTCATACCAATTTTGTTCAGTCGAAATTCATCCAAAACTTGTTCTTCTCTCGTCTTTCTATTGCAATCCTAGCAACATGAAAAGAACATAGCCGCACCCTCTGTTTTAGCAACGATACATTGGTGTGATCCAATTCTTGTTCTTGTTCTTTTGTCTTTTCCCGCTCTGGAATTGTCCTTCTTTCTTTACTTCTTTTCCTATTAATTCTCATTCTCACATCAATCCGTTTTCATTCCAAAATTTGTTTCTTCTCTCTTGTCTTTGTGTTGCAATCCTAGCAACACAAAAAGATCATAGCCGCACCCCCTGTTTTAGCAATAATATATTGGTGTGATCCAATTCTTGTTTTAATTTTTTGAAATAGACAGGTATAGAAATTTTTCAATAGCATACTATGATACATCAACTAGTTTATGCGTTAGCAACAATATATTTGTGCAATCCTAGCTTTTATTTAGTTTATGTTTCAGATTAAATAATGGATATAAACACAATCAATTTCTCCCATATGAATGCAGAGATTCATTTTACTTTAGATCATCGATTGGTAACTAATTCTTACTCTTTTGATGTGCCACAATCTTCTAATATTGAAGAACAAAATATTGATCCTAATGTTGGAATGGAGTTTGATTCATTGAAAAAGGTTGAAGAGTTTGATAGAGTATTTGCTGAGGTAAATAGCTTTGGAATTTGTATTTGCTCAAGTAAAAAGAATTATTGCATTTTGGTGTGTTAGAGAAGGTGAAAATAAGGTAAAAAGTAGCAAAAAGAAAAATAATATGCATGGGAGAAGTTAAGAGAAAGTGTTCAACAATGTGGATGAGATGTCCTACATCACTTAATTGTTTCAAAGAATAAGAAAAGAGATGTATGGTTTATATTATAAAATCTTTTGACAAAAAACATATCATGTTATGGCTAGTCCTAAGAGTGTGTCTTATTTGAGGTGTCATAGAAAAATGAACTTTGCTTCAATAAGTCTTGTAGAAAAATTTAGTGAAGAAGGTTTACTGTTAGAAAGGCTGCTATATATTTAACAGTACTGATTTAACTTTTTCTAATATTGTTGGAATCACATGAAAAATGTTAGAAATAATTTGGATGTTGGAGATCCACAAGCGGTTTTGAATTATTTCAAACAAAAGCAAGCTCAGGATTTTCTTTTATTTATGCCATACAATGTGATGATAATACTAGAATGATAGATCTTTTTTAGATGGATGCTAGAACAAGGTTAGCTTATCAACATTTTGGAGATGTTACTTTTGATACCACATATAAAACAAACAAGTATAGCATGCTATTTGCCCTATTTACTGGATTGAACCATCATCTTCAATCAATTTTATTTGGCTGTGCATTATTACAAGATGAATCTGAAACATCTTTTATATGGTTGTTTGAAACTTAGCTTCAAGCGATGAATGGAAAAAGGTCAATATCTATAATAACTGGTCAAGATTTATCTATTGGAGCTGCCGTGGCCAAAGTATTTCCGCAAAGTCGTCATCATATATGTTTATGGCATATTAGAAACAAGTTTCCTGAGTTAAAGAGGTGCACATATATCACAAAAACTCAACATTCAACCGTGAGAGTATCAAATCTTTTTTTGACTCCTTTGTTAATGCATCCACAGCGTTACAAGAGTTTGTGGTAAAATTTGAGAAGGCAATTATAACGGTTAAGAGGCTAAAAAAAGAGAAGACTTTGACTCTAGACACAAATCTCGCGTTGAGTTTTGGCTCCAAAATTGAGGAATATGCCACATCAATTTATACTAGAAATGTGTTTGAAAAATTGCAGAAGGAGCTCGCATGTGTTAGCCATTTTACGAGAGAGAAGACTGAGAAAAATGGTTCACAATATAAGTATATAATATCTAATTGTTTTGATACTAGAGGTGCATTCATTATTCGACATAAATTTAGACTCAGACGGGCAACATGTCATTGTCAACTTTATGAATTTATGGAGATACTATGTAGACACATTTTGTTCATTTTTCAAGAAAAAAAATATTATTCAAATTCCTAAGTAATATATTTTGCAGCGCTGGACAAAAGAAGCCAATAAATATATTAAGGTGGGTGACAATATATTCAAAATAATGAATCAGAAATTTTGAGAAGTATGCATGTGCAACGTCAGTTTTTCAAATTTTCTAATTTGGCAAAAAGATCAGAAGATGCTTACAAGTTCATTATGGAAGAACTTGATCGTGTTTATAACATGGCTGCTACAATGGAAATAGAAATTCCCAGTGTTAATCAAGCTCTTCTAGAGTGAGATCAACAATATTTAATGTGACACATTGAATAATGATCTGACTTTCAATATTAAGGATCGGTGCATGTCACAGACAAAAGGTAGAAAAAGGAAGGAGTATGGCAAAGCAGCTCCAACAACAAGGCTTAAAAGTGGTCTTGAATTGTCAATAAATAAGTCAACAGTTAAAAGGAGAGCATGCAAATCATGTGGAGAATATGGCTTCATCAACTTGCAAACAAAAGGTAGCTTAGAGTAAGTAACGTTCCTTTTTTTTTTTTTTTTCCCGTTATTTAATCTTTCAATATTACTTATGCTTACAGAGGTTAGTGTGTCTATTTGAAGATGGAACAATTCTGTTATTTGAAGGACTCTATGGATTATGAAGTTTAAGTTGCACTTAGTAAAGCAACAACACTAGTAGCAAAGTGAAATGCATCTGCAAGACAAAGTGAAATGCATATTTAACATTCATTTATTATATTCCTTGTATACTTTTTGTTTAGATAATTTAGTTTAAATTCTTGAATGGGAGATGGTTTTAGTAAAATTCTGTAGAAAATCTATATGATGTTTGGATCTTAGTTATGAAAAATAAAATAAGAAATAAATTTGATTGGTGTCTTGCACATGAAGTGCTGCAATGGTATATATGCAACAGCATCAATTAGTTGTTGTAGCTTATAATATTTTCACCTGAAGCTTTTATTTGTGACAAACATTACCAAAACTTGCAAGTACATCTAGACAACCTTCTCAATTTGATGCACTAGAATTACGTCTTGGATAAAATAATAATCGGTGCAAGCATTGAGGCTTGTAGTTTCAATCTTCCTCAATAACTGAAAATTTTCAGCAAGCAACAAGGACTTGCGTGTCACTATTAAAAAAAAGCTTTTAATTTCATCAAAGACAAACACAAAAATTGGTTCAAATTAAAGATCACAAATGATTAATAATTTTTCAGGACGCCCAACTGCATTGCTGATTTTTTAAATTTAACATTTGAACAATTTCAACCACAAGACCAATTTTATTTTAACTCATAATATTAACAAAAGTATTTTTTGAAATTCAATTTTAATTTTGAAAAATTTATTTCAATTTAATCTTATTTTGCCTAATCAAACGTATAATTAATTATACAATTTATTTTAATTGATAAAATTTAAAAATAAATACATAATATATTTTAACTTAAAAAATTATTTTAATATAATAATAACATTAATAAAAATTCATTAGTTTTATTAAAATTAATATCTAAATACAATTTTTAAACGAAAATATTTTTAGAATTTTTTTGAATAATAATATTATTAATAATTTTTCTCATCATGTCAATTATTTTTTAATATTTAGCATTTATTTTTAGTTTAATATTATTTAAATTATAATTTTTGATAACTTATATAGTGTAAAATTTTTCTCTTTATTTTAATTTATTATTAATAATTATAATATTTATTTAAATTAAAAAATTAATCAAATTTAAAAATAAATCTATAATATATTTTAATTAATTATTTAAATATTTTAATTTAATTTACTATTCTCTTTAGTCTTTTTTATAAAAAATAAAAGACTAAATTATTAAAAAAAAGTAATTAATTTTGTTATATTTTCTATAAATATAAATTTTATTTTAAAAATATTTATAATATTAAATAATATAATTAATAATTTGTATATTTAATAATATTAATAAAAAATATAAAAATTTAATAATTAATATATCTTAAATTTATCATTTATTTTTTATAATAATTACAAGTAAATGTTAATAAAATGTACCGAAGTAGTAATCATTGGTGTAAAACAAATTTAACACTTGTTGGATAGAAGAATTGTAGAACAATCCCAAGGACAAGGCACGGTTGATCCGAAGCGGGGAGGGGCCATGGTTTCGCTTCATCCACTAGTGTGTCCTTTGTCGGTTTCCTCTTCATCCTCTGGTTTTCTTAGCGGCTCTCTTTGTTTTCGCCGCTTCCTCTCCGTAAGTTCTGCCCGGAAACAAAGAAGCAGCTTCAAACCGGAGCACTCTTCTTTCTTCTGCAATGCTTCGTGGCAAGAGGTCCGCACTATTCCCTTTTGTAGTTTCACACTGCTTCCATTCTTTCATCAGATGATTCATTCAAGAAAATGTTCCTACTGAAGCTTGCGGGAGTTTTACTTTTCTCAGCGGTTCCTTTTACTGTCGTGAAAGCTATAGCTAATAGTCCGCTAGGAGAGTCGCTTCAGAGGAAAATGGAGGAGAGAAAGAAATTTGCTGTAGAAAACTCGTCTAAATTCAAGGCCGCAGCCGAGGAGGCCAGAAAGCATAGGTAATTCTCGGTAAGCTACTTTGTTCATCGTGTATGTTTCAACCATCGCGATAATTGGCAAACACCCACTGAAGTCAATCCTTTAAATTTAAAATTTTAAAAGCATCTAAAGTCAATGACAAAAATTATCACTTTTTTACTCACTTTATTGATAAATTCAATAAATGACGATCAATTTATTGTATTTTGTGAGATATCATCAATAATTATTAATTCCATACACGTGAAATAAACCAAAATTCAAGCACTTTCTCTTTTTAATAATTTAGTCTTGTATAAACTTTTTATTTTGTTTGTTTTCTTTTCTTCACGGTATGTTTTTTATTCCAGCAACCATGGTTAAAATTTTTAAGTGGCGCTGATAGCATTTGCTCTTGCTGCGACATTTTGATGATAGAAAAATGGAGTAAAATGGCTGGCATTGTCTGATATGAGTATTTTCAAGAATATGGGCTGAGATTGTAAGTGCTAAGTCAGCACTAGGTAGTTATAGATTCTGTGGTTGAGAAATGATTAGTGGTTGATTGCTGAGTTGGCAACCCAAGTTGGTTGAAGCCTTTCCTTTTTTGGGAAAGCTGTTAGTTTCTGAGTGGTTAAGTAGCTATTAATAGCAGTTAGTTAGATAGATTGGAGGATGAAAAAATTCCATCAGTTTTGTATCTTTTTCCTCTTGTAATCACTTTCTCTCAGTTTCAATAATACATTGGAATCCTTCAATTCTTGGATTCCCTTCTCCATTCTTGTTCTTCGAAGATTACTCTTCCTAGTTCTAGAAAAATCACAACAATTGGTATCAGATTGTTCGATCCATATCGGAGTCTTCATCAATGGCAGAAGCTACAAGAAATGCTCGAGCGATGAAGGAAATAGAAGAGCGTGTCTCAGCTTGTTTGGATAACCGTTTGGCAGAGCTCGCAGGGACACTGCAGCGAACACTTGACGAATCTTTGAAGAAAACCATGGAGGATCTCTTACAGCAGCGTCCACTAGGTTCTATAGGGATAAATCGTGACGATGATCGCAATTCACGTTCGTATTCGTGTGGTACCCGTCTTGCTCGCATTGACTTTCCAAGATTTAATGGCAAAAACGTGAATCAGTGGTTGTATCAGTGTAGCAATTTTTTCTTGATCGATAACACTCCTGACTCATTTCGTGTTCAATTAGCGATAGTTCATTTAGAGGGTCGAGCTCTTCAATGGCACACGGCTTTGTCTAAAACTAGAAATTGTTCCTCTATGTGTTGGGCTGATTATGCGGAATTGGTAATTGCAAGATTTGGGGATGTTTGTGATGACCCCATGGCGGATTTGATGAAGCTTCGGCAGAAAGCTTCAGTTGCTGACTATCATGATGAATTTGACTCTATTATCACTTGATTATCTTTGTCTGAGGATTACACTTTAAGTTGCTTTTTAGGGGGGTTGAAACAAGATATCCAGATGTTGGTAAGAAAGTTTAACCCCAGTTCTGTTCAGAGAGCTTTTCAATTAGCTCAAATGTATGAAGCTGCCAATACCCCTACAAGCACAAGCAATGCTAAGAATGTTGCTGGCTCTTCAAACAATGCTGTGATAGCCAAGAATCAGAAAGGATTGTTGGGGGCCAAGCCTATGACTGCTCCTAAACCTGTCTCTAATACAAGCTCTCCGAGGGAAGTTGTGAATTCTAAGTTCAAGACTGGTAAAACCTTGACTCTAGCCTTTATGAGTGAAAGAAGATCCAAGGGGTTGTGCTATTTCTGTGATGAACCATACTCCCCTGAGCATAGCTTGACTCACACGAATCTACAGGTGCATGTGTTAGAGGTGCTTGAGGAAGAGGAAATTATGGAGGAGCCTAGTGTGCTTGCTGAATTTTCTGATTCTGATGACTTGCAAATTTCTGTACATGCTTTATCTGGTGTGGCTAATTTCAAAACCATGCATGTTACTGGTCATTATCAAAAGAATCCTGTTCACATTCTCATTGATAGGGGTAGTACACATAACTTCTTGGATATTGGATTTGCTAAGAGGTTTGGTTGTAGAATAGAGAACTTGGACCCTATTTGTGTTATTGTGGCTGATGGGAACAAGATTACTATTTCCTCTATAGTCAGAAATTTTACTTGGAGGTTGCAAAATACTATTTTCACTTCTGACATGATGCTTATTCCTCTTGGTGGATGTGATTTGGTGCTTGGCATTGAATGGCTGGTCACCTTGGGTGATATTGTGTGGAATTTTGATAAGTTGCAGATGGAATTTAAAATTAATGGAAAGAGGCATCGTCTTAGAGGTTCTGCTCAGGGTGGAATTAAAACGATAAGGAAACAGCAGGTTGGGAAAGTTTTAGACGAGGGAGTCCATTTTTCCATGATACATCTTTGTGAAGGGGGAAAAGGATTGCTGCAATCCCTCACTGCTCATGCCAATCAACCTCAGTTGCCTCCTATGATTGCTGACCTCTTGACTGAATTTGATGATGTGTTTCCGGAACCTGAGTCCCTGCCTCCCTTCAGACCTGAGCATGACCACAAGATTACTCTTGTACAAGGAGCAAATCCTATTAATAAGAGGCCCTACAGATATGCTAAGCATCAGAAGGATGAAATAGATAAATTGGTGCAGGAATATTTGAGAAAGGGTGTGATTCAGAACAGTTGTAGCCCCTATGCAAGTCCAGTAGTGTTGGTTGGAAAGAAGGATGGCTCATGGAGGTTGTGTGTGGACTACAGGGAGCTGAACAAAAACACTGTGAAGAATAAATTCCCCATTCCTTTAGTGGATGACCTGCTAGATGAACTTCATGGATCTACAATCTTCTCTAAGATAGATTTGAGGTCTAGTTATAATCAGGTGAGAATGGCTCCTGATGATGTTCCAAAAACTGTTTTTAGGACACATGCTGGTCATTTTGAATATGTGGTGATGCCATTTGGGTTATCAAATGCACCAGCCACCTTTCAGGGCCTCATGAACCTGTGTTCCAATCATTTCTGAGGAAGTTTTTGCTAGTTTTCTTTGATGATATACTGATATATAGCAGGGATTTGGAGAGCCATGTGGATCACTTAAGGCAAGTGTTGTTGACTCTTAGGAGCAATAGTTTATTTGCTAGGAGATCTAAATGCTTCTTTGCTGTTGACAAGGTAGAATACTTTGGTCATTTCATTTCTGCTGAAGGGGTTTCAACTGATCTAGTCAAAGTTGAAGCTATGAGAAACTGGCCATTGCCTCAGAACCTCAAGCAATTAAGAGGCGTCTTAGGCTTAGCAGGGTATTATAGGAGGTTTGTGAAGAGGTTTGGAGTGGTGGCTAAGCCCTTAACTGAAATGCTTAAGAAGGATGGTTTTGTATGGAGTGAACAGGCTAAGGAGGCTTTTCAGTTATTAAAGAACCTGCTTAGTAGTGCACCTGTTCTTGCATTACCTGATATCTCTAAAGAATTCATAGTAGAGGTTGATGCTTCAGGTTATGGAATAGGGGCAGTCATTATGCAGGAACACCATCCTATTGCTTACATTAGCAGAACTTTGAATAAACAGCAGCAGACATTATCTACCTATGAGAAGGAGTTACTTGCGGTAGTGTTTGCAGTCCAGAAATGGAGACACTACCTTCTCAATAGGCATTTCACTGTAAAAACAGACCACTATAGCTTGAAGTACTTGCTGGATCAAAGGCTCACCACTGTGTTTCAACTGAAATGGTTAGCCAAGCTCATGGAGTTTGACTTTTCCATAGAATATAAGCAGGGGCATGAAAATGTGGTAGCTGATGCATTATCAAGGGTTGAGGAGTTAGAGTGCCATAGTTTGAGTACTTATCAATTGCAGTCTGATTTGGTTGATAGGATCAAAGCTACTTGGTTAACTGATGTGAATTTGATGAAGTTGATCAAGGAAATTCAAGAAGGTTCAGCTGTGCATAAACACTATATATGGCACAATGAAGAATTAAGGAGGAAGGGAAGGTTAGTGGTTGGAAATGATAGTAAGTTGAGGGAAGAATTATTGCAGTGGTTGCATTCTTCAGGTGCTAGTGGTCATTCTGGCATTAATGCAACAATGCAAAGGATCAAGGCTGTTCTACATTGGAAGGGTTTGACTACTGATGTGAAGAGGTTTGTGCTTCAATGTGATGTGTGTCAGAAAAATAAGTACTCTACTGTTGCTAGTCCAGGACTGTTGCAACCCTTGTCAGTTCCGGACCAAGTTTGGCAGCACGTGACTATGAATTTTATTGAAGGGTTGCCCATGTCTTTTGGGAAGCAAGTCATTCTAGTTGTGGTTGATAGACTGAGTAAAGTGGCTCATTTCATGACTCTTTCTCATCCCTATATAGCAAGTGATGTGGCACAGGTTTTCTTGGACCAAGTTTTCAAGTTGCATGGTTTCCCAAGCACAATTACTAGTGACAGGGATCTTGTCTTTATCAGTAATTTCTGGCGGGACTTGATGGCTTTTCAGGGAGTTCAGATTCAACTTTCCTCCAGTTACAACCCTCAAACTGATGGCCAGTCGGAAGTGGTAAATAAATGTCTTGAAACATATTTGAGGTGCATATGTTGTGATTCACCTCAGCAGTGGAGCAAATGGTTGCCAATGGCTGAGTGGTGGTATAACACCACCTATTACACTGCTACTAAGGCTACCCCATATGAGATTGTTTACAGCCAGCCTCCTCCCATACATCTCCCTTATCTGCTTGGTCAGTCCAAAGTTGAGTTGGTGGATAGAAGTTTGTTTAAGAGAGAAGAGATGTTGAAGATGTTGAAGTTCCACCTCAGAAGAGCCCAAGAAAGGATGAAACAACAGGCTGATAAGCACAGGACTGACAAGGAGTATCGGATTGGTGACATGGTATATGTTAAGCTTCACCCCTATAGGCAGATTTCTGTGGCTCATAGGAGTAATATGAAGCTGAGTCCTAAGTATTTTGGTCCCTACCGGATTGTTGATAAAATTGGAGCTGTTGCTTACAAGCTTGCATTACCATCTCAGTCCAAGGTTCATGATGTTTTCCACATTTCACAGCTTAGGAAACGTGGGAAATGTACCAGTTTCGAGTGTTCTTCCATATCAGTCAGAAGATGCCTTTGCAGACAAGAAACTAGAAGCTATCTTAGATAGGATGACAGTTAGAAGGAAGGGAGCAGCAGTGCCTAAGGTTTTGGTTAAATGGAAGCACCAATTGGCAGAGGATGAGACCTGGGAGTTCTACTATGATTTGAAGAAGTTCCCATCTTTTCATCCTTGAGGACAAGGATGCTGCAAGGGAAGGGTATTGATATGAGTATTTTCAAGAATATGGGCTGAGATTGTAAGTGCTAAGTCAGCACTAGGTAGTTATAGATTCTGTGGTTGAGAAATGATTAGTGGTTGATTGCTGAGTTGGCAACCCAAGTTGGTTGAAGCCTTTCCTTTTTTGGGAAAGCTGTTAGTTTCTGAGTGGTTAAGTAGCTATTAATAGCAGTTAGTTAGATAGATTGGAGGATGAAAAAATTCCATCAGTTTTGTATCTTTTTCCTCTTGTAATCACTTTCTCTCAGTTTCAATAATACATCGGAATCCTTCAATTCTTGGATTCCCTTCTCCATTCTTGTTCTTCGAAGATTACTCTTCCTAGTTCTAGAAAAATCACAACATTGTCTGTCCCTCAACCACAGTGAAATTCTCAAGCAATGCTATTCTGACTCTTAATATGTTACTTCATGTCATATCATTTATACAAATAGTTAAGAGACGAAAAGAGTTTCAAATGACGTTTCAGTACACGATAATTATTCTCATTGTTGCTTGTATCTATAATTTATGCTTATTTCCGTTAAACATTCACTAATTTTTTCAGCTTTTGGTATGGAGAAGATCGGCCTCGTTGGCTTGGTCCTATTTCATATGACTACCCATCATATCTTACTGGGGAACTGCCTGGGGATTATGGCTTTAACATTGCTGGGATTGGCAAGGATCCTGTGGCACTGCAGAAATACTTCAAGTATGTCATATTTTGAATTTTTTTCATGGAAGCCATTGTGCATGTGTTATTGCTGCTTGTCATGTATGATTTTTCTCATATGAAATGTTTAATTTTTCTTTATTTATGGTATTTTGCACTGGTAGAAAATTTAAAATATGTTATTATTATGATGAACTGCAGACACTAAGTTTTTGTTTCTTCTAAACAGTTTATCAATAATCTCTCATGCCTGTTTTCAAAATTTTGACAGAAAAACCTGTTATATAAAAATAAAAATGTTTATTAATGATATCTTTATATTGCATGAAGCCTTGTTGAACTTAGATAGCTAAATGATCAGTTTTAACCTCTTATATCAATAAGCTTTGAGATATTGCATGCTCGGTGGGCTATGCTTGCATCAGTTGGTGCTCTGCTTCCTGAAATATTAGACCTATTGGGAGCCTTTCACTTTGTAGAACCTGTTTGGTGGCGTGTTGGTTATTCAAAGCTCAAGGTTAGTATGTCCTGACTCCTGACTATTTGACAATCTCTTGTGCAGTCTTGCCTGTCAATTTGTTCAGCTTTATCACACAAGTTTGTGCTCTCCATTAGCCACTTCTTGAATCTATTAATTATAAGGGTGGCATTATGTCTTTTTCAAAATGTTGGTCAACAATCTCTAGACATGGCTAAATGACAAATGAATATTCCGTAATGGGTCCTGATAAATTTCAGATGTTAAAAAAGAGTTTATTATAACTTTTGACATCTTTTGTATCTTGTAATAGTTTCTTGGATCATATTGTTGTTTCTCTCCCTTTCCCCATTGACAATGTGTTTTAGCATTTTCTATTGTATTTAAACTCCTTTTCTTTTGATTTGATTACATTGCACCACCAAGAAAGCAACATGCTGTGTTTTCTTGTCTAGATTTGCTTCCAATCTGTTCTTTTCTTTTCTTTTTTTGTATAATTAATATATATGATTAAACTTGTTTTTAATTCATTTTCTCCTCTTCATACCTATTTACAATGTATTGGTCATTTTATTCTATCTTTGGTTTGGTTTTCTGCTTTCTAGATGGTATGCTTAGTTTACATGCCACATGTTGTATTGCAGTGTTGATTTGCCTAATTTTCTTTGATGATAATTGAGTTTTTTGCTTTTTCTTTACTTTTGGCACGCTGTGTTTTTGTTTCATGCTACAGAAATTTGCACTCTGTAGCAGAATACAACTAATAACCAAAATTAGAATGAATATAGAGGCTCTTACACGTAAGACTGTATGATTAAGATCAATTCCTATTACCTTGCAGGCTCTCACTTGACACACACACTATATATATATATATAGAGAGAGAGAGAGAGTGAGAGAGAGAGTCAGAATCCATTAACATTAGATAACAAATTTGCACACTTATCCCACTTAATAACTTGTTATAGAATGGAAGATTAATCAGTCCAATTTTTGGTTTAAAGGTTCTTATTAATTAAATTAACTTTATAAATTTTCATACAAAAACAAAATTAGTAGATACTTCAACACATTGTTTTGTTTTAACGGATAATATTTTTAAAATATAAGTAAATATCAAATTTTGGATAACATACATACAAATGTCTAAATTATGTAAAATTTGATATATATACATGATTATTAAGAAGTGGTGTAAGTGTGTAAGTTTGACACTTGGTGTCAATAGATCTTGACGCATTATGAGTGTGTGTGTGTATGTATACACACATCTGAGTGTGTATGTATACACACATCTGAGTGTGTATGTGCAACACAGGTCTTAATCAAGGCATAAACTTTTTGTTCTCACTACAAGGTGTGTTAGAATTGTATAAAAACAGAGGGAAAAATCAGTGTTACCAAATGATGGTTATGGTGGCGCCACGAGCATGGTGGCTTTTAACGGGTTTTGGATGGCGGTGCCATGGTGACTGTTTTTAGTGAGAAGAATATCTAAGAAAAGCACATTCAATAGATTGTGCAGTGAGTTTAGTACATTCTTGAGGAGGAAAATTGACATAACACACAACCAAAGGTACGAAAGAGTAATAATTGGGTGGCTGACCAAATAAAAGAGTGAAAGGAGAATTATTATTTAATGATGGAGATGGCTAGCGGTTTATAAGGTGAACCACAGTGCAGAGAGCTTCACACCAAAACCTTGGTGGCACATGGTATTCCAACAAAAAGGTGTGGGCAATATCAAGCAAGTGGCGGTTTTTTCTTTCTACTATCCTGTTTTGTTGGGGAGTTGAGGGGCATGGGGCATGTCCTTTGTGATAAAACACCATTAGTTTGCAAGAAGTCTTGAAATGAATGAGAAATGTACTCCCTCCCGCCCAGCCCAGCCCAGCCCAATTGTCAGAATGAAGAATTTTAATTTTGGAGGAAAATTGGGTAACATAAGCATAAAAAAATTTGAAAGCAGAGAATACTTCTCTTTAAAGCACAAGAAATAGACTCATGTAAAATGACTATAATCATCAATAAAAGTGACAATATTTATAATTAGCATGAGAAATAATTGGTGCACCCCCATACTCATACTCTAGTTGTCATCTTTGCTTCTATTTATTGGCTTCCCATGCTCATGCACCTCTTCCCACACTGTTTGATCAAAATCATACTCTGGTTGGAATCTTTTAATCAGTGCCTTCACAAATGTCCACCACTCTGCATATTGGTTGCACCATTTCATGTAAGCCACCAATTGAGAGCATCACCTCTTAGAGCCTTTGCTGCCTTTCATAGCTTCTCTTCATCATGTGTTCCTGTGGTTTCAAAAAACAGCTCTACCTCGATCAGCCACCACCCACCAGTAGTTCTCCTTTCCATAAAATGTTGAATCATCTTCGAAGAACTCAATATCCATAGCTCCAATTATCAGAGCTCTGGAAGTGTTGGAACTGGATCAAAACAGAGGAAAGAATAGAGAAAATAGATGAAGAAAAGAGACAAAATGTGTATTATTCTCTAGTACAACTCAGGTTATTCGAGAGACCCTATTTTCTCCCAATGCCTAAAGGCCCTAATCCTTTCACAAAGACTTGATCTCTCTCTCTCTCTGCCTCCCTCTAATTTACAGGAGCAATTATGCATTATTTCTTCTACAATCTCAGCCTACCTAACTATTAACTAATTCAGTTTAACTAACTAATATATTATAACTATCTACTAATGAGTCCCTAACTAACATATCATAACTAATTACAAATGGGAGTTACTTAACAAGGTGTTTGTAATATATATGTGTGTGTTAACACATATCTTCATTGAGGTATAGACTATTTGGGGCTTCTCACTTCAAGTGTTAAAGGCCCCTAGCATGGTAGCACCTTTAGGAAAGAAATAAGAAAGAAAAAAAGAAAAAAAGAAAAAACAGGAGAGAAAGAATTTGGATAGAAAGAAAGTGATGAGAAAATGGGTTGATTTTTTGGTTATTTGGTGCAAGAGAAATATGAAAGAAAGAAAAGAAAAAGAAAAGTAACATTCTTTTTCCACTTGTTTGGTTGAAAAGAAAGTGATTTTTTCATGAATTGACAATTTGGTCCCTAAAGTAGATATGAATTATATGATACATAAAATTGATGTTTTTATATTTTTATTTTCAATACCTTTTCTTAAATAAATTTTATAATTTTTAAAACATAATATTATTTATTGTATCATATTAATTATAAAAGACAACCAACTACTAAAATATAAAATAAATTTGTTTAATGTGAAACAACAAAGAAATAGGAAGTTGAGCGTGAAGGATTTTTGAAAGGTAAAATTATATTTTAAATGGTGAAACATCCATTTCTTCAATTTTCTTTGCTGTTCAGCAAAGCAAACGTTTCGGTAGGGCTCATGTGTGTTTTATTGTTTCCTACTGGTTTTCTATGGGCTTCCAAACATTGGAAGTTCACCATTTTTCACATAATCTGTCCTCTCTCTTTTCTTTCTTTTTATTTTTTTATTTTTTTATTTTCTACTGAACCAAACAAAGCGTAACTGTGTCTTGGCTTTGACTACCTTGAGGGTAAATACTAGTTCCCCAAGTTCTTTGTTGACATCAGCTGAGTTGATTTAGATGTTAGTTTTTGTTTTCTTATTTTTGGTTTCCTACATGTAACTAGCTTAAGCTACAATATTAGTCGTATGATATTAGTTATAGGATTGTTAGGTTATTAGTCTTATTGTTATTGACTTGGACTGTTACTAGTAGTTCTAGCGCTAACCAAATTATTTGTACAAATAAACAGGAGAACTAGGTTAGTGTTTCGTATTGCATTTCACCTTTTAATTATATTTTTATCATATCACATACAACTCTTATTCTCTTTTTTCCTTTCCCTAACCTAAACTAAGCCTATAATTCTTTGACTCTCTTTATTCTGTTACTGTGCTTTATTTTGTTAAATGAAATTGGTTGATCAGTTTTTACTTGGTAGGTAAGAAAATTCAGTTGCATATTTATACCCTGTTGGGCCTAGTTATGAAGTTATGATCATGTATATTTCCATATTGATTAAACTTGTATGGATAATTATAATAATTTAAACGACACTCTTTGGGTATGAATTTTTCAATTTTGACAGGGAGATACTCTAGATTACCTTGGCATCGAAGGTCTTCACTTTGCTGGAAGTCAAGGTGTGGTCGTGATTGCTATTTGCCAAGCACTACTTATGGTATTGCTTATATCCACTATCCACCTTACTTGTCTTATGAACTCTGTTAGCATTTATTTCTTGTGACATTTGTCTTCCAATATTTGATCATGTCACGACTCAAAATTGGATTTGTGAGGAACACAGTGCTAGAAATATAACCTTGCCTGACAAGTTTAGCCAAAACAATCATTTGCAATGAAATTGTTAAGAATCAGAATAGAAAACACAGAACAGCAGCAGCAAATGAAAGAAGAAAAATGGGGAGATTGTATTTAATTACTGAAACAAGAAGAAATGCAAGGAGAGACTCTCTCCCTACCCTCAGAGCCTGGCTCCGTTGAAGAAACTTAGGGGCTCTCCATTCTTCCAAATTGGCTAACTGCAAAAGATGTCCTTCTAAACAAATCATTCCCCCATATAACAAACTATTCTCTCTCTCTTTTGGCATAACTAACTAGCCAGCTCACCCTCTTTTCCACCCACATTTCCCGTGCCTTTTTTTTTTCTTTCTCACATAAACTACCCATGGTTTTGGGTCAGGTCCACTATCTTGCACTAGCAACTCATTAGGCCCAAATGCACTTGGGTCTCTAACAATTCCACCTTCCTCAAAAAATGTCTTGTCCTCAAGACAGAATTCAGGAAATTGACTACAGATCTGGGATTCATCTTCCCAAGTGGCTTCCTCGCTTGATTTTCCCTTCCACTGTATTAGGCACTGCACAATCTGTTCCCCATGCTTCACAACCTTCCTTGAAGCTAAATGACATTCCGGTTCTAATGGTTCAGACCCATTTGCTACCAAATCTGCAGGTAATTCCGGTTGTACTTGATAACTACCAATGGCCTTATTCAGTAAAGACACGTGAAACACAGGATGTATCTTCGCATTTTCAGGTAACTTCAGGCAGTAGGCCACAGCCCCTACACGCTCCAGAATTTCGAACGGGCCATAGAAACAAGCAGCCAGTTTCTGATTAATGCGCGTCATTACCGACTGTTGTCAATGTGGGTGAAGCTTCAAAAATACCCACTCCCTAACAGCAACGCTCCTCTTAGTTCTTTTGCCATCAACAATTGCCTTCATCCTGTTTTGGGCTCTGACTAAATGAGTCTTTAATTGCTTCAATGCTTCATCTCGATCTTTCAAATCTCTTTGCACCGCCTCAACACGAATCCCTCCCTTAATGCTATGAATGAGAGTAGGTGGTTTGCGCCCGTAAACAGCTTCAAAAGGGGTCATTTTAATTGACCTGTTGAATGTTGTGTTGAACCAATATTCAGCCCAGGACAGCCAATTTACCCACCCCTTTGGTTGTTTCGCTATAAAGCAACGAAGATACGTTTCCAAGCACCTATTAATGACTTCCGTTTGGCCATCCGTTTCAGGATGATACGCAGTGCTCATTTGAAGCTTAGTCCCTTGCAAACGAAAGAATTCCTTCCAAAAGGTGCTCGTAAATACTGGATCACGGTCACTCACAATTGAGCTTGGCACTCCATGTAGATGCACCACTTCCTTGGTGAAAATTTCAGCTAATGACCGTGCTGTGTATGGATGCTTCAATGGGATAAAGTGGCTATACTTAGACAAACGATCCACCACTACAAATACTGCCTCATACCCCTTGGATCGTGGTAAACCAATGATGAAGTCCATTGATATGTCCTCCCACACTCTATCTGGTATGGGAAGGGATTGGAGAAGACCCCTGGGGGAAGAAGTCAAGTACTTCTGCCTTTGACACACATCACAGCCACGCACAAATTTCTGTACTGACCCTTTCATACCTTTCCAATACAAATTTTCAGCCAATCTCCTGTAAGTTCGAAAATACCTCGAATGACCTCCTTGAGGTGTTTCATGGTACTCCTTCATTAATTTTTCAATCCATGGAGACCAATTGATCCTCAAACAACAAAATACCATTTCTGTACAAAAATCCAGCAGGAACCACTGTACCTTGCTGCAAATCAGATATGATTTTCTGCAATTTCTGATCATTGTGAACTTCTGCTACTACTGCCTGAATGTCCATGCAAAAAGGATAATAGACTAAGGAAAACAATTGCCCCTCTTTTGCAAGATGTGATAAAGCATCGGCTCCTTTATTTTGTGCCCCAGGCTTGAACTGTATATCAAAATTGTAGCCTAGGAGCTTTGCCACCCAGTTCTGTTGATTCCCGGTCAACACTTTTTGCTGTAGAAGTTGTTTCAAGCTTCGATGGTCAGTACGAACTGTGAAATGCCTCCCAATGAGATACAGTCTCCAATGTTGAATGGCGAGTACCAAAGCCATCAACTCTTTTTCATATGTAGATTTGGCCAAATTCATCTTGCTTAGAGCCTTGCTGTAATAAGCCAAAGGACATTGATTCTGCATTAAAATGGCCCCAACACCCAATCCCAATGCATCACACTCTACTACAAATTCTTCAGTGAATTTGGGAAGTGCCAATACAGGAACTATAGTTAATCTTTGTTTCAACTCCTCAAAAGCAGATTGTGCTCTATCATTCCAGTGGAATTCATCTTTCCTCATAAGCTCTGTGAGAGGCTTAGCTATAAGCCCGTAATTTTTATTAAATTTACGATAATATCCTGTCAATCCCAAGAAGCCCCTGACACCCTTCACATTTGTAGGTATTGTCCATTTTACAATACTTTCCACTTTTGAAGGGTCCACTGACACTCCTTCCTCTGAAATCAGATGCCCCAGATACTCCACCTTCCTCTGTGCAAATTGGCACTTCTTCTTGTTGGCAAAGAGTTGCTGTTTTTCTAGAACTTCCAGTACTTTTGTCAAATGCTGCACATGATCCTCCCAGCCCGTGCTATATACTAAAATATCATTGAAAAATACAAGCATGAACCTCCTCATGAACTCACGGAAGATGTCATTCATCAAAGCCTGAAAAGTTGATGGCGCATTCATCTATCCGAACGCCATTACCAAATATTCATAATGGCCCTCGTGTGTGCAGAATGCGGTCTTTGAAATATCTTCTTCGTGCATCCTGATTTAGTGATATCCGGATTTTAGATCTAACTTTGAAAAGAAGGTAGCTCCACTCAACTCATCAAGGAGTTCTTCTATCAATGGAATGGGGAACTTGTCAGGCACTATGACTTTGTTCAGAGCTCTATAGTCCACACACATTCTCCATGAAGTGTCTTTCTTCCTCACCAAAATTACCGGGCTTGAATAGGGGCTGTTGCTTCTCTTTATCTACCCATTTTCTAGCATTTCACGCACTTGTTTCTCAATTTCATCCTTCTGGTGGTGTGGGTAACGGTATTGATGTGTTCCTCAATGGAAAATTGGGAATAATTGGACCTTTAGGGTTTGAACCTTGAGGAAATTCAAAATTCTGAAAGAATTGGGGAAGAATTATTCACGGTAATTGAGTCTTTGATTGATTGGGATTAAGTTGAAAAGAAAAAAAAAGCAAAATTGAGTTATCAAAATGAAAATTTTGAGTTTCCTTATTAGGGTGAACGAAAATGGAAAGAAAATGATGTGGTAATGATAATTAAGGAAATAAAATGCAGAATTTGTAAAAATTAGAAAGTTTAGGTTTCCTTTCTAGTTGAAATTCGAATTTGGGAAAAAAAGGGAATTAGGGTTCAATCAGGTAGTAATTGGGAAAAATTGGGAATGGAATGAAAAAATTACTCTTTCACTAGGTTAGGCATGCACACAAAAGGGGTGAATATCCTTTGATAAACCTAGGTTCTTGAATCACTTAAGAAATCTAGAGAATCACTCTCTAAGTTTGCCAAGGCTGAATTTTCATTCAAATTGATCATCAATACAACTTTGTGCCACCCACCCTTAAGCAATGAGTCAGTGGCTGAAATTATTACAGCAATAATGTTCATTCAAAGTCCCATTAAGCTCCACTCATCAAGCTTCACTTAATGACCATTTTGTAACTGAAATAGGTAACTAAAAGCACCGCTCTCTCTCTCAATAATACAGCCAATCAACGGATGGTCCACCTAGGCATTATTCAAGTCATAATTAATTAAAATAATAACCCTCAATGGCTGTTTTTGGCACTCCTAGTTCAGCCACAAACTTAAAGGAATTGAACCACTTAACATATTAGCCCATTATTAAAAAAAAAAAAAAAACCAAGTTCCAAAACAAAAACATGTGCACGCCAAAAATAAGCATTGGGCCTTCCTTGCATACTTTAAGCCATCACTCTTCTAACTCTTGAATGCAATTCACCATCTTGGGCCTCTCTTGATTCATGTTGGGCTCCTCTCCAAATAATGTGATCATGGCTTGTTGAAGGGCTTCCTTAATCTTTTTGGTTCTTGCTCTTGTTATTGGGCTTCCAAGTCCTTGAAATGTATTGGGCTCACTGGGCTCCTTGTCCTTTGACTCTTGTTCATGATCTCTCAAGGCTTGGTCTCCATCATGTATGGACGAACATTTACCGGCCCTTGTCCTGGCAGTAAAGTGATTGCATGAGCGTTGGACCTCTTGAGAGGCAGGCCCTTTGGTTCTTGAAAGACTACCTTGAATCTCCCAAGCAAGGCTTCCAACTCCCTCTATAAGTTATCAGGTAACTCTTCTCCCGTTTCTGATTTTTCTTCCACCATATGTACCAAGGTCTCAAGGGAAAATGGGGATCTTTCACGTTGCTTCGCTCCCAGCAACAACGTCTCGCGACCATCTCTGTTAAAGCGAATGCCCTATTTGAGCCAATCCACCGACATCTCTCCAAGTGATGCTAACCAGGACACGCCCGAAACTATGTCTATATCAGATAAGAAAAAAGATAGGCATCAATCAGATATACTTCATTCTCGACCTGCATTGGCAAATTCGGACATACCCCTTGCGTGACTACTTTATGTCCATCACCCATTAGGATTCGCAGGTCTTTGGTCTTTTCTACTTTCCATCCCATAGAGTCAACAAACTTTTTAGAGATGAAAATGTGAGTTGCCCCACTATCCACCAGCATGCACAGAGGAATTTCATGAATTGAACCTGCGATCT